AGCTTCTGGAGCTGAAACACTGCGTATATTTAAACAAAAAAACTAAAAACTACGAGAGCAGCATAATGAGGAAACATGAATATAACCTACATGTGTGAGACACTGAGGATATGTGGTTAGTCTGGAACAGTGGCTTCCAGTTTCGGGGTCAGGACCCCTCCAAGGGGTCACAACATAAATCACAGGCATCACCTGATAGTTAACGGGATAAGAGAGAAGAAAACGCGTCGTCCTGCTACACACAGTGATTCCATTTTTTCTGACTTTTATCTGAGCAGATCGTTTTACATCTGTGTGGCTCTAAAAACGTTTTCAAATAAAAACAGTCTGAGAAGTTAAGAGTCACTCTTTGGTGCAACTGCACGTCATTTATTGCCATTTGTAGTGTGTGACAGGGGGGGTCACATGTGGACACTGCCTCATTTTAAGGGGTCATAAGATAAAATCACCGGTTTAAGATTCATTCTCCTCAGTGTTGTTGAGATGGTGGGAGGGTAGGGGGGGTGGGGTGGGATGGGGGGGGTCCCATGTGGCTTCTAATTTAACCACAAGCTTTGGAGTAAGATGACATTAAACTGTCGTCAACACTGGCTTCAATGAGATGCAGGAAGTATTTCCACCAAAAAAATTATATGATGAAAAAAATAATACAATAAAAATACAAGTGTCAAACAATTCTTTTTCTTTCAGGTCTGGAGCTCCAAGACACAAAAACCATTTACTCAAAATATTACTTTAAATATCAAGAAAAATAACTGATTGAAATATTTAAGAAATGTGTGAGACTTGTGATTAATTCATGCTCTTTTAAATCTTATGTAGATATCAGCATTAGCAGGCCTATAGCTAATTTATAAAACGCCATATGAATATAATAAAGTGTATAATGATGGAAATAAGGAGAATATCTGTGGGCTTCAAAGGCTGAAGAGCTGCAGGGAAGCTGCCACATGCAAAATAAACTGGTTATTATGAGCAAATAAAAAGTGAAGGCTGAGACAGTGTCCAGAGTCAGAGTTGACTGTCACTGTCCGGCGCAGGAAATCAACCTGGTGGAAGCCAGACGCGGCTCTAAGTGAAGCATGTAATATTATCCTACCGATGCTTTCCATATCTGTATCCGATGAACTCCAGAGAATTGACCACATATGGGCCCAAATGCGTGTGTGTGTGTGTGTGTGTGTGTGTGTGCGTGTGTATGTATGTATGTGTGTGTGTGTGTGTGTGTGTGTGTGTGTGTGTGTGTGTGTGTGTGTGTGTGTGTGTGTGTGTGTGTGTGTCCGATAGCCTAAATAAAAAATAACAAAAAGACATGCACTGTCTTTATATCAGTCGGGGGGAATAAAGTCTTGGTGTAAATCACTTTTCCGTCTGGCACAGCACATTAAACAACCGTGGCATGATTCCTTTTCTCTCTGCTCATCCGTTCCCTTTTTTCTTTATCAGCTCGTTCACGATTTCATTTCTTTCAAATGAGAATTCAGGGACCCCCAAATTCAAGCCCCCGCGTCTTCAAACAACACAACTGTACGGTTTTACTTTTTCTCCCGTCAAAATGGTATCCCAGATTCAATTTTAGATAGACCGGGATTTAGCCAGTGATGATTTTTTTTTTTTTTTTTTTTGGTCTTTCGGAGACAATATTTAATATACTGAAATGAGATCAGTTTTTCTCAATTTCTCTATGTGTTGTATCAAATCTCGCGTTGACACACGCAAAAATTAATGCTTCTGATAAGCGAGCTTGTTAATATAAATAATAGTCCCCTTTTTTCTCTCTCATCATCATCATCATCATCATCATCAGACGAAGAAACAAACAGTGAGACAGTCATCATCATTATTATCAGTAGAGATTTTTTTTCTACCTTTCCTCCAGGGTATCCCCCCTTTTTTTTTTTACCTCCTTTTGATTTAGGAAATTAGTGCGCTTAAATACAAAACCTCATTCTCAACAGCCACTTATCAAACTCCATTTGCTGCAGATGATTTCAGGGTAATATTAAAAGACAATAATGTAAATGACCCATGGCTTTTAATTAAAAATGTCTTGTCTCCTCCTCCCTCCCTTCAATATTTTTTGTTTCATCTGTTTTACTTTCTTTTCTTTTCTTTCTTTTTTTTTTTTTTACTTTAAGTGTTGAGGAGAAGAAAAGTGGAAGCGGCTGCTTTGCTCGGTGTCCCCCTCCTCGTTGACTTTTATCACTAAATGAAGCATATAAATGACCTGAAAGCGCCTGGCTGTCGCGTTAAATTAAATAAAATAAAGAACAATTATCCTCTCCTTTTTCTCTGATCTCGCGCTATAAAGGAGTCCTGGAGAGATAAGGCAGATTGAATTCTCTCTGTTGTGCTCCAATAAAAACGTCAAGGGAGGGAGGGGGGGGGAGTTAAAGAGAGATTTAAAACCAACCCCCCCTTTATAATTTCAAATCATAATTTCCCTCCCATTATACCTCTCACATGTCGTTATTTATTTCAGGGCGTTGTAACTCCAGTCAATTCCCGTGACTAAGTTGGATAATTACAGGTGGTGAGTGGATCGTACCCGAGCAAAGTTACAGCAGCTTTAAGAAAATATAGAAAATATAAAAGCAGTGATTTAAAACAAACAGTTCGGTCTTATATATAAATATATATAAAAGGTTATTCGCCTCATTTTCATCATGGAGAAAAAAAATAATAACGTCTGCAGCTGCTCCTGAAAGTAATTATAATTGTCTAATTTCAAAGTTGAATTAGGATGCTTTAGGGGTTTGATGTAAAACTTCACATTCGGTTCAATGAAGTATCACCCTAATTTACAGCTTCAGATAAGGACTAAGTCTGTCATAAAAATCTGCCCGTCTTCCTCCCCCCCACCCCCCCCCCCCCACCCCTTCCTCGAAACAAACACGTTCTCCCCCCCCCTCCTCCTCCCTCCCCAGGATTGAATTGCACCTTGGGCAATAGTGCAGAATCGTGAATCTTAACTTCTCTCAGCATATGTTCCTGGCAGATAAGTAAACAATTTGGATGTGGAATGAAATTTTTAATTAATACCACAGTCGTCTAATGTGGGGCTGTACAGCGCGGTCTGCAAATCCTGCTCTCCATTACCAGAGTGGAGGAGAGAAGCTGATCTGAATCCACGTTCAAATCTTTAAATGCGTGTGTATAATTCCTCCTGCTCCGGGTTGTAAGCTGTATTGTCTTAATGAGAGTCAGACCTATCATTCACAAGTTTTGTGCAGGTTTAAACACGCGTGTATGAGTTGATGATAAAAGGCTTCCGCGGGGTTTTGGCTGCAGCACCTTTCTTTTTTTTTTTTTGAAAAGTATCAACACACACGCAGAGATGTTTAAACCGCACAGCAGTGGTGGGCTGCTTCACACAGCAGCCAGCAAGTTACACGAAAATAAAAAAAGAAAAAAAAAAAGGAAAAAAAAAAAGAAAAATAAATCACATCACATTGAGTTTGTTCCCTTTTGTTAAACCTATAATTAAGCAGAAGGCTTTCTCCTTGAAGTGATTAAGCAGTCAGACGAGTCGGACGGGCGGAATCCCTCCGGGGAGGCCTCTCCTGAACTGTCAAACATCAAAAAGATCCCAACCGGTTCAGCCCAGTGTCATAAAAAACACCTTCGGTGTAGTGCACCGCGGAACATGCCTGGAACCTGCTTCAAATAATACAAAAACAAGCAGCAGCCAAATACACAGGCAAATTAAGGCTGGTTTTTAGGAAATGATCAGAGTGGAGGAGTTTGACAGCTTCAGCAGCCACACAGCTCAGACACAGGGGGAGAGAGAGAGAGGGAGAGAGAGAGGGAGAGAGAGGGAGAGAGGGAGAGAGAGTCAGAGGGGATCGATCCTCGTGTTATTGTTCTACTGCGATGCCAGTTTGTTTCCGTTCAGTCTGTCAACAGTATTGATCAGTTTGGGGTCAAGTTGGGTCTAGCACTTGAAATGTAAAGAGTTTTTTTTTTTCTTAAGTGTTGAAAACTTACAGTCGCTTTTTGGTGAATTATTATTTCCGTTTTAAGTTTTTATCCTATTTTCTTTTATGTATTTTTATTTTTGTTTTTTTAGAACAATTTAAAATGAGTTTAATTGGGCCTTTATTGTGGCAGCTTTAACGTCCCCGCAGCACCTACACACTATTACATTATCTTTGTCATCTCAAGCACCCAGTAACCTACAAATACAGGAAATTGATATCGTTTGAAGACAGATTGTCTTTATTCGAAACGTCTTTGCTCAGCAATTGAACAAAGAGCAGGAGGTATCAACCTTCTAGATACATTATCCTTTCCATAACATGACAGGTTTTAAATTACCATCTTAGATAGAAAATACACATATAACTCCTTGAATTCAAATAGAAGTTATCCTCAAAAACAAAACAAAAAAACAAAACAAAACAAAAAAAAAAATGACGCGTGTGACTATATTAGCACTGAACCACAGGAAAAATGCAAAATGAAACATTTGGATGTAAATGATTTTTTTTTCTTTTGTCATCTTAAATAGACCGTCTAGTTTTATGTGCCAGTTTTTGATAAATATAAACAATATAACCCGTATATAATCCAGCCTATAGGTCCTGATTTTGACCCTATCCAGAACATCATAAAATTACGAGTGCCAAAATGTAGACTACTTAGGCCTATACAGGAAATAAGAATGCTAATTGTGCAAGCCAAATTTTCAAAATAAAAGAGTAGCCTATCAATAATCAACACAAATCAGCCTATCAGCATTGAAATGTACACAATAAATAAAGTTAAAGGCCTCCTTTTCTGGCTGCCATAAACGTTATAACATTTACATTTCTTACAGTTCACAGGGCACCGTCCTTTACACCAAATCCCAGCTTCTCTGCTCGGGTCAGGAACTTGTTCGATTTCTGGAAAAGTTTGTTTGTTTTTTGTTTTTTTTTTCTTTTGTCATTTTTTTTTTTTTTTGCCATAACAAGTCCAAGGCAGTTAATATTGTTCATGTCTTTTTAATGGGGCGCGCTGTCCATAATATATTTACATGCATTTCAGTATTCAAGTGAATTAAAAAGAGGAAAAGAGTCTTGAGGGTTACATGGCAGTGGCATGTGCGGATGAATATGGGTCTATCCCAGTCTTGGTCATACCTGGAAAAAGTATGTAGGCCACCGGGGGCTGTAAACTTGACGCTGACCAGGCTGTGCAGTTACACGGGACGACATAGCCCGGGTTTGTGGGCGACGGGTGGGTGTGGGTGTGCTGACTGGGGCACCCAAGGGTGCCGAAAGCGCCGTTCTGGTATCCCAACGAGGACGCGTACGGCAAAGTGCTGGTGCTCAACGTGTGGGGCATCTCCGTCATCTTCTGGATGGCGCTGGAGCTGAACTGACTCGGATCGAGGAAGGAGTAAGGAGCGGACGTCGGCGGCAGAAACGCTCTGGCTTTCTCCGAGGAGCCCAAAAGAGAGTCCGCGGCAGACACGGGAAGTCCCTTCAAGTGATCGGTGTCCCCGAGGTAAGGCAAAGGGAAAACGTACCTGTCCTTCTTGAGCAGGTTTTTGGGTTTGCGCCTGGGTCTGTACTTGTAGTCGGGGTGCTCCTTCATGTGCTGAGCCCGCAGCCTCTTGGCCTCGTCAATGTAAGGTCTCTTCTCAGACTCTGAAAGCAGCTTCCACTCGGCGCCCAGTCTTTTGCTGATCTCCGAGTTGTGCATTTTGGGATTCTCCTGTGCCATTTTCCTCCTCTGGCCCCGGGACCAAACCATGAACGCGTTCATGGGTCTCTTGATATGATCAGCGGGCTTTGACATCTTTAGAAAGGATACTTTTATCCCCAATGATAATGACGAGGAAAAGTTCTTATCGGAAGGAAGGGAAACTATTCACCTGTCTAGATGCCAGATACCAGTCATGCCCCGTCTGGGATGTTCTGAGTCTGGAAAACGGCAAAAATAAAACAAAATAAAATAAAAATCCAGCGGCCGCTTCACTTTTCCCGAGTTAAAACACTGATGCGCCTTCGGTTAAGTCCAGTTACAACTCTCTTTCAGACCTGCGGTGGGCAATACAGGAAAAAAATACATGCAAGATGCACACACGTAACAAAATCCACAAAGGTGAAAGCAATGTTCCGCAGTCAGTTTGCAGGAGTCGTAAAAGTGTTGAGTGTTATTTTTTTTTCTGTCACACTCTCTCTCTCTCTCTCTCTCTCTCTCTGAGGTTTGTCGTCAAGCACCTGGCTTGGAAATGAGCGGAAGAGCGTGAATACGAGCCAAAAGCGGTGAAGTTCAAAGGCTGGGCTGGTTTGGTTTCTGCACGCAATCTGACATAATCTGCAGGGCGTTCACTCACCAACCTGAGCGCCCAATCAGCACGGAGACCGGCTATTATAATACCTTCAGGAAAAATATATGTACATTACAACATAAACAAAGAGCGGCTGGTAGTAGAAGAGAGAAAAAAAATAAGGAAAAAGGGGAGCGTGTGTGCGTGTGTGTGTGTGTGTGAGAAAGGGGGGGGGGGTAATACTCAGGATCCCTCCTCGATCCCATTTAATGTAATGAATCGCAACAAACATGGACCTTCAACCTCTTCTCCAGTTAAAACCTGACTTCAATCCAGAGAGGTGACTACACCGTGCAGCCAATTCACTGTACAGCTTCACACTAAATGCAGGGGAGCACCTTCACGCGTGTGTCGCCACAAATACATATAGTTCGGCTTGAAGTTATTGATGTCGATTTGCTTACAGGCAATTTAGTTGTGAAAAGTGTGAAAGTATAATAATAATAATAATAATAATAACAATAATAATAAAGAATAGGTCATTCATTCCTTACAGAAAATCATGTTTTTATATTATCAATATTATTTTCCCTCCCTTGGATTTGACAAACACAACATGGCAGCCCGTCTGCACCTGGCGGGGCCTCGGTGTCCTGCTCAAGGACACTTCAGCAGGACTTTAACCCCTGTCTCAGAGGGGGGGGGGGGGGGGGTCAGAACATGTCAGCTGTAGCTTCAGTGGCTACACTTCAGAGAAATGTGGGCTAACGTTTTCTCAACATTTCACTCTAAAGGAATCCACACGTACTGACAAAAACTAGCATTTCCTTTATAGTAATAAATAAATAAACAAAGGTCCGTCAAACAGACACGCGCGAGCACACACACACACACTCACACACAGGAAGGACACACGCGCGCTCACAGTTCAGGCCCGTGCCGTTGATATTATTGACCCTCAGCTCAGCTATAGTGACAGAATTACAAACACCAAGAAAATATTACATCAACTGTAAATGTTAAGAAAAGCGTCATAGTGAGACTATAATTGTTGCATTAGCTCACATCAATTTGACAGTGTGGTTTTAAGGAGGCACAGAGTGATCGTTTTAAAATGCTAATTTCACTGAGGACCATTGCTTAATAGCCCTCGGGCTAATGTGCGTGATATATGATTCCTTCAGCTGTGATTATTAAACCAAACGCAGACAGCTGATTTGTTTTTTTTTTTTCTCACACCACCAAAATGCTGTGATTGGAGATACAACCCTGAGAGTCGTCTCTCGTTAGTTACACTGCTAAGTAGATTTATTTAAGGTGGTCTTTGGCCTATATAGCTGTACATACTTGTGCGCGCACACGAGCACACACATACACGTGGATGTCGTGCATCACATCCAATTATCATCTCATCTTTCTCTCTCTCTCTCTCTCTCTCTCTCTCTCTCTCAGTGTGTGTGTGTGTGTGTGTGTGTCACAAAGAGGTCACACACGCAACTTCAAAGATGGAGTTTCTTTAGCATGTCACCACATCGCAGTGACAGAGTATATGTCTAATATGTTAGCATGAGAAATAAATAAATTTGTATTATAATAAATAAAATATTTTTTACAAATGCTGCAGCAAAAAGAAACTTAATTTATAGGTTATACACATTTCTAAAGTATATATTTTCAGTACTAATATTAACATAAGATTTTTTTTTTTTTTTTAAAAACATGATCTTATGCAGAGCAGGCTCATTTTATTTTTGTACCTAAAGTAGGACAAAATGGAGTTTATTTTCCTGCCTGTGATATTCTCATATTTCAACACATCTGCGTCTCTTTCTCACACTCTCTCTCTGCTCCCTGCCTCCTCACACACGCATGCGTCAATCGGCAGCGTGTAACAAGAAGATTTCCATCATATTTTTTCTTTACAAACCCTGAAATCATCGTTTAAAAAAATTCCCCTTTTCGGGGAAAAAAAAAACCCTCCTCACCCCGACCTAGAGAACAATGTCGCCCACAGCTGAGGACGCCCCCCGACTCTTTTTTTTTTTTTTTTCAGTACAAGCGCCGATCGGAAAAAGCAAAAAGAAAAAGCTTCTCAAATCCTCCCAATCGGCAGGCTGTGATGTTCATCTGCAACCACGAGGTAGTATGCTGCATGTTTGCACTGTATATTCCGGCTTATTTTGAAGTTATAAATTGTGTTATGCTATCTTTCACCGAGCAGCGCATATGCAATTTGACATGTAGCGTTTAGGCTGCTATATACCCACAGCAGCTTAGGCTTCATTTTGAGATCAATGAATGAGATAGCAGGAAATTATTTTAGGGGCTGAGCCTCCTACTCACGAGGGAGAAGTCAGCTATGTTTCTTATTCAAAAACTGATTGTCTAATAAATGCACGCCTGAAAGTTCCCTCGACAATTCAACGGGATAATGAGAAATGCAATAGGTTTTGATTTGTCAAGGAGTGAGATGATTATTATTTCCATCGGCAGTTTCTCTTCTGCTTTTTTTTTCTCCTCAAATATGATCGTTAGTACATTTGACTCAGTGTATTGTGTGAGGTAAAACCGTCCAAATACAGTTAATAGCCTAAATAAAATTTGCGTCACCACGTAAAAACTTTCCTCCATCTCCAAACTTCAGGCATTTGGAAATGTGAATAGATTAGAATGTGACAACATGAGCAAAAATAAAATAAATAAACATTTAAAAAAGTGAAAAATAAGATCTCCATAAATCTAGAACTTATATTTGCTTTGTAAAGAGTGTAAACGTGAGAGCAGCAGCTCGATCACAGCTGTCAGTAGTTGGTGAAAGATTATTCTAACTCACTGGAACTTTATTTAACTGAGAGTAATAATCAACAAATTCAAATCACACACAGACAGAGGCACGGTGAGCGCTCGCGAGACAAACACCACCCACCCACTCACTCACCCACCCACACACACATACAAATACACACGTACACACGCACGCGGACACACACACACACACACACACACACACACAAAACTAGGATTATCAGAGGACACATGTCCATCCATCTCGCCTTAAAAAGTGAATGGGGAGCGGCCTGACACACAGAGAGCCTATTAGCCAACTTGGGCTCCCGGGGAGAGCATGAGGTAAGCTCCCCCACCGTAACTGTCCATGGTGCTGAAGCGGTAAGAGGTTTTCTTTACTGCTCACTTGCGTCCTGCCTCAAAAACTCTTAAAAGCTAGACTTGACATTTCAATGCCTTTTATTGTATTTCCATCCTATTTAGTGATGGTTCTCTGTAAAAAATAAAATAAAATATTAGAAACTGAGACAACTCACATGGTCTACAACTTTTCTAACTTTTTTTTTTTTTTTTTTTTTAAGCAGAAGAATGAGTTAAGCCTGTTTTCATGGTGTGGAATATCCACTGTTGAACCACATTTGGAACTAATAAATTATGGCACCATAAATGATCATAAAGACGTTTTTATGTTGCCTGACTGTCCTTTATTTCAGCATCAATATGGGCTTAAGTGTAATTTAGCCAGTGCCTTCTCAATATAGTAGACATTATATCATCGCCTATTAAGTTGTTGTACCTAATTATTGCTTAAAAGATGAAGTGTTGGCATTGATAAGGGAATGACTGAATGCTGCTGTGGACTATTGGCGACAATACAGAGAACACAAGACTTGAAAAGGGAAAAACACACAAAGTAAGAACAAACTGACTGAGATCACCTCTTCAAAGAGGTGCTTAACTCAACCTATTGAAAACTGTGAATTAGTGTGCAGCACCTCCACTTTTCATCAACTCCGAATGAACTGATGGTCAAAAACGTGCATGCACAAACACACACACACACACACACACACACACACACACACACAGACAATGTTCAGCTGATCTGTACCCAAAATCTATACAATCTATACAACATGAAGTTCACTGTAATTTACTCCCTTACACAGCAGAATGCCAAACCCTGACATGCCATTGCTCAGATTCCTCTACAAGAACATGTTAAAGTAGAAAGTGGAGTCATTTAACAGCTACTGTATATAATACAATCTCCGTTTAACAATGTTAAATGAAACAAAAATATTCTATATCTTCAAATACCAAAAATACTGAGCTCATGGTCAAGGTATTTATTTCCAGTTTAGATGGATATTACTATGTTGTTCATGGAAGTGATACAGAAAAGTGTATGTATGCTTGAATTGCTGATAACTGTACTATACAAGAAGGCTTTCTTTTACCAATATGAAAATAATTACAAAACTCAAATTCAGCACACAATACTGAAGGTCTTTTGACATTATCTGCTTACAAGTACCATTCACTGACACTGAGAAGCAATCAAAATGTACGCAATGAGCAGTATGTGAGATGTATCGCCAACATGGGGCATGTATTACAGAAAATATACATATATATCATATCTTTGTGGCAACATCGTTCTCTCAGTAAGATAGTAAAATTGGACTTGAATACAATTTAAAAAGACTAAACTTAAGCTGTTCTGTCTTTTATTCTGCAACACTGGATGGTGCAGGGCAAAGCAGAAAAAAATTAACAAAGGTTCAAGGCATCAGGTAATAATGAAAGGATAGGGGCAATACTTCAAAGACCACAAGGTCCACATCACACAATTATACAATACAATTAGGATTAAAGGGGCAAAACAGAGATAACAGGAGATAGGGATAAATTATCACAAAAGGAAAGATGTGACTCTCTCCTGACCTTCATTAAGAGAAAAAAACTCATTTAGAGCTGGCCTTCCATGCAGGGGGATTTCAGCCTTTCACATGAGACTGTGACTCACTAGATAAGATTTACGGAGTATGAACGAGAATCTGAGCTACTGCTCAACAATAAAATAATAAAATATATATTCAGGATAATAAATGATACATTACACAATAAATAGTG